TTTCTTTCTTCATTTATTTTTCTTCTCACCATTTCCCTTCTTTCCAACAAACATGGTGTCAACCTAAATGCATGAAGGAACGAATGAAACATCAATGCCATTGTTAAATTACCTGTCAGAAGGAATTTATAAGTTTCTTTTTCCTGTTGGCACTTATCATTCAAGCTTTGGGAAATTGTGTTTAGGAATGACAACGGATCGGATCAGAACGAGATTTTATTTGTTCCGAATCCGATTCGATTTTAAACATGTAAAATTTAAATTCGATTTTATTTGATTTTTTTTATTATTTTTATATTCGAATCCGATTCGATCTGATATTATATAAAATAATATTTTATTCGATTCTATTCGAAATTAATAAAATATTATTTTTAATATAAATATAAAATTAAATATATATAAAAATATATAAATAATTATAAAATTAAATAATTAATTAAAAAATTATTTTTATATATATCGAATAGGGTATGATCAGATTTGCTTAAAATTCGATTTTAATTTTTTTTTATGTTATACTACTTAATCCGATCCGATATCCAATTTTTAAAAAATAAAAATCATTCTTAAAATATCAAATCGAATCGAAACCATTAATTTCAAATTTTTTTACCTTCTTGGGTCGAAGAATAGGATGTCATTCTCTTTTCACATGGTCATAGGGTGATCGTACAATTACATATCAGATACATGGAAAATTGAAAAAGACATAATATAATTGAAGGCCCACGCAGCACATGCTTCACATTTGTTTTCAAATGTGGCAAAAACACCTTGACCCTTATAATGATAAGCATGATGCTACACTTTCTTCCTCCTCTTAAAGCCAAAAGTAATTAAATGTTTCCCATAAACATAAACTTAGAGCTTGGTATTTTGCTCTAAATTTAGGCTGCGTTTGGATCACTGATTAATTACTACATGATTTAGAGCTTTAATTGTAAGTGCAGGATGGCGCGGTTTAGTCTTTTTTTCACCGTACTGAAACCTCCAATAGCCACTGAAACTTAAGGCTCCGATGGAAAATCAATTAAAGTGCTGCTAAATGTACTTCAGTCCTTTTTTTTTTTTTCATACCTCAATTTAGAAAAAAAATTGTAAGTAAAATTATTTAATTATTTTTTACATAAATTTTTTTAAAAATCATAAACCTTTTTGAAAATAAATTTTAAAAAAATCATATGACTTTTTGAAAATTAATTTTTTAAATATTATAAATTGTTTCGAAATTAAATTTCAAGATAGTCCAATTTTTAAAAAGATTTATGATTTTCAAAAATTTATTTTTGAAAAGATTTATAACCTTTTGAAAATTTATTTTTAAAAAATTATATGATTTTTCATAAATTCATTTTTAAAAAATTATAAAACCTCGTAAAATCATGAGAACGATAATTAAATAATTTTATTTACAAAAAAAGTTTTTAAAAATAGGGTGTAAAATGAAAAAATGGAGTTAATTTTAGCACCACTCAAATCAACCTCTCCACTACACCCTTTCTTCCCTCTTATGCCCTTGTCATTTTTTTTTTTCGTTTTTGCCCTTCAATGTATGGTGTAAAGATGAGACTGCTCCTTGAGTAGGACTATTTGCACCACAAAAAACTCTCAATACACCTAAAAATATTAACCAATAAAAAAATTACTTAAATATCAATTATTTAATTTTTTTTTTATCTTTTATACCCCTTCTTAGTAAGTTATGAAAAATGAATTTTTGAAAACTTATTTAATGTATCAAAAAATCATTTTTTGAAAATTTTAATATATCAAAAATTTATTTTCAAAAAACATTACAATTATTAGGAAACTTTAATGAATTTTTGATATGTTGAACAAATTTTTGAACATCTATTTTCAAAAACTTTCAACAATTTTAAGAAGTTCATTTTTAGAATGTTCGAATCATGGTCTCAAATCGTACTCTTAAACTTAAAATTTTAAATCTTTTGAAATTAAACACAAAATCAAACAAAAAAAAATGATTTATCTATGATTCTAAGTTATTTAACATTATATAGGTGATTGAGGCTTGATTTGAGGCTTAATCCCTAAAGATTTTAGAGTTTTCGATGAAGAAAAAGAGAGGGGATGTGAAGTGTTTAGGATTTTTAATAAATTAATATTTTAGTTTGAGATGTGAAGAGAAGAAAAAATTGATGTTAATAATAGTGGGATATGAAAAAAAAGGAAATGAGGGTGTAAATAGCACTGCTCTGTATTATCTCTTTATGCCTTTACCATCATTTCTCTTTTTTTCTTTACCCTCCAATGTATAATATAGGAACCAAAATACCCTTATAATTTAGTCTTTGTCTTTTTCTTTTTGTTAATTATATTTTTATTTTTTATTTAGAGATTTTCGCATAATATTTTTATAATTATATAATAAATCATTTATATATTTCAATTTATAAAATTTTAAACATTATATAAAATTAAAAAATATATAAATAATTTATTATTATATTTTTATTTCAAAGTCATCGCTATACTCATATTCAAACACATTCATCATTGATTTAAATATCACTATTATAATAACTAAATCTCACATTTATTATTGTTTTCAATCTCACTCGAATCAAATTTATTACTCATCCAGATGGATTCTTAGTGTTTCCCACAAACCCTAAACTTAGAGTTAAATGCAAAATTTGTTGGATATTAATTGTGAGAACGATTGAATGAACTCCGATTTTGGAAAAGATATTAAAGCTTTATTATTAAATTAGGAAAAAGTGGAGGATAATTAGTAAAAATTAATTCAGATATTGTTGGAGCTATGGAAGCCTTAATTAGCTTTAACAATGGAATCACACTGTTACTTCGGAAGGAAATAAAAAAAAAAATGAAGCTGTGATTAGTAATTAAACTCGAATGTTTTAAGAAAAGCAAGCCTGGTTAGTTTCATCACTCTAAATAACATTATATTTTTTGTTCATTGGCACACCTCCTTCCATGGATTTAAAACTAATAATAAGTTTATATTCAATGCACAACTAATAATATATTCTTCATACGTTTGGATTTTGTTAACTGTGACGATGTTGTATTATAGTAAAGGATTTAATGATTGTTTAAAAAACACTTGTTAACATTGTCGTTTGATTTCATCAAATGTACTAAAAAATCATTAAGTTAAATAATGTTAATTTTTTTATATAATGACAAGAAATTTTTAATTTTTATTGATAATTTTTTTTTGAATCAATTCAAATAAATTTATTTATGTTAAATATAATGAATTTATGAAAAATTATATTTTATAATTTCTCAATGGATTTGAATCCAAATAACAAAGAAAAGAACATACTTTTTTTACCACTTGAGCCGAGCATACGTTCATAACAATTTTAATCTTCAACAAGTGCTTTTGGACAATATTCCATAACATTTATATATAACAAGATAGACCATCTTCATTGTACTGAAGAGGAGTGTTGGTGATATGCGTGTCTGGTTTTTGATGTTTTCTAGGATGTAAAGGTAATCCATCAGTTCTGCAACTTCAATTCTTTCAAGCCTTATCTGTAGCAGGAATTCAATGTCATGTGGATTCCCAATTGCTACTTCTTTTGGCATAAAAAGCTTTGAATCTGATTAAAATGCTCTTGAGTAGGGGTTTAATCGAGTCGAGTCGAACTAATATAGTAAGAAGTTTGAGTTCGAGTTTGACTCACAACTCGCGGCTCGATACTCGGTTCAAACTCAATCGAGTTTTATTTTTCAAGTTCGAGTTCGATTCGTGATCGAATTCGAGCTATTCGAACTCGTTCGATTAAGCTTGATTAATATGTAAAAATAAGCTCGATTCATATACTCGATAAAAGTTCGATTATTTATGCTCGAGTTCGAACTCGAATTCGAAATATTTTATTAATTAAAATAATAAAAATATATTTAAATATAAAAACTCGATTAGACTCGCGAGCTACTCGAATCGGATATAAGAATACTTGAATTCAACTTGATCGATAAGTCGAGCTACTTGAGCTCGAGCTCGATTCGATAATAATCGAATCGAATTCGAGTTTTCTTCAAATCGAACCAAAATAGCTTGAGAATATTAATGTATTATTTACATCCCTAATCCTGAGGACTTAGACTAATCAATTTGCTTGGCACTGTTCCGGTAGTGTAATTATTTTTTTTTAAGAAAAAAAAATTTTTTTTAAGAAAAAATATATTTTTTCTTGTATTTTGCTTGAAGTAAAATTCTGAGGTTTCATTTTAAAGGTTTTAAATTTGAATCACAGGTGAGATTTATGAGATGGAAAAAAAATTATTTCTCGTTTTAAAACTCAAAATCATAGTATCATTTTTTTTTTTGAATTGTGAAAATTTAAAAATTTAAAAACATTTAAATATTATCCAAAAATGTTAATAAAAAATTCGTAATTCAAAATGAAAGCCAATTTAAAGGATTCGATACATTTAAAATGATAATCTAAATCAACTAAATTAAATCTTGATTTTTTTTTTTAATTTTTAACATACAAATTTGATGATATTGCACGAGTTTTCTTTGGCATGGGGCAAAAGGGAGAAAAAAACAATGAAGAAAATAATGCCATATGGCTAATGATTGCTCCAAAGGGGAAGGTCCCAATGGTTGTTCTCTTAGCCATGTGCTTAGGCATGAGGCTTGTTAGATTTTTGAGTAACAACCAGAGAAAATGGAGGTTCATATGGACCAGAAATTAGGACATGTTAGCTTTGATCAAAGATTTTGTTTTTCTGAATCCGTATTTACTTCAGTTGATTTGTGCAGTTACCTTTAAAAAAACCAGTTACCTTTAAATCCAAGCAACAAAAGCATGGGCTAAAACCCGAACTCATTATGTCATGGATAAACTCATTCAGCACATTGAAGGTACATGAAAGGCAGAGGCACAATGAGTATTTGACAAACAAATAAACATAAATAGATCATGCTAAATCGATAAAAATAAAATGTTTGTTCTGAAACACAGATATTAGATTCCAAACGACGTGAATCATCTTTCCTGGAACATGGCATAGTTAAGCTGTATACATTAAATCATATGCAACAGCATATAAACAATGAATTCCCAAGTGGCCAAGAATACACACAAGGAATTCCCAAATAGGCAAATACTGAACCTCTTTGTTTCTTGGCCTTTGGCTCGCTTCTCTCTATGAAACTAAGAGAACTCTGCCTTGAATTAAAACAGAATGGTGGCAAACCCCAAATCTTTAACTTAATAAGGATATTATACAGAAAAATGTTAAAACAACGAAAATCATTGTGTTAGAATACCTTTACTTTTACCTGCCGGATCCTTTACTGCATCAGGGAGGTTCTTTAAGACCTGCAATGCAACAAAAAAAATACTTTTTAGTAAAAAATGGAAGCAAAAGATAGTGCTGTATGTACTAACAATTTTAACAGTGATAATAACCAAAGACTGACAATGAAGTCAAACAATATCGAAGCCTCTGTACATTTATGATAGACGGTGATATAGTAATGTTACCTGATATAGGTGCCATGAAGCGAAAGCATCTGTTGCTGCATACTGTAGTTGCTCCTTGGATAAAGGATACAACTCCCAGTTTCCCAGCCTAATTCTCTTGGGCTTCGGAAGCTGCAATACTCAACTTTTAATAAGATTTCCCAATGAAAGTGTTCAGCCTTGCTGCTTAAGGAAAGTTTAAACCAAATATCTAGGTCGAAGCTAAAATACTAGTACTATTTACCAGTTGAGAACTAATATCATATTAGGGTTATTTAAGATGAAAGACTGCTTCAGTGTTCTCCAGGCTTTCAAATAGCTAAATTAGATGAATACCTCTTTGCAAACAAGCTTCTCAGTGAGGGCTGCAAGACTCCAATTTTGGGGATCGCTATTGAGCTTCTGATTTGCCAGATATGAAAGATCTTCCACAGCTTTGACAGATACATTATAGTCCCTGAACACCTTGACAGCATCGCCACCAATTGCAACTCCAACCTGTTCATTTGTGAGCATAAATTCGAAATGCTAAAAACTAAATATACAATCCCAATATAGAAAGTCAGGAATTTAGGTAGACAATAAAAAGACATAAAGTAAAGACTAAAGATATTACTTACTTTTATAATTGTGGAATCCCCAAGGAGAACCTGCAGACTTTGAGGTATTCCAGAATGAATAATATGCATCACATAACAATACCTATTGTCACAACATATCTGCATGACTGCAGCCTTCCCAGGCAAAATACCTGCAGTCTCAAAATTCCAACTATAAATAATTATCCATACAGTATAATTTAATACAATTTTAGCTTAACTCCCCTATAACCTTTGCAAAAAAGCTTTAAAAAATGAGAATAAAGATTCTTAATCAGAATATGAAGCTCTTATATATAATTGAATTGGATGCAAGGAAGCAACCAAAGTTTTTGGTTCATAAACCACTAGGCAGCATTGTAACCAAAACCCCTTTGTACATCGAGATGCAGGAAGAAGTTCTACAGATGTGATTGAAAAATTAGGAAGTAATTATTTCCCCTTTTATCTAATCCCATACTCTGCAAAGTCCCATAAAGTTATTCCCATCCCCCTTAACTACTGAAATTGATAGAGAGCCAATGTCTATAGTAACTACTTTTGATGAAAGGTCAAGAAGGCAAGACAGGAACCAGATAGACAAGTGATATATTAGGAGGTGGTTGACCACATTAGTCCCTAGCCTCGAAGTACAATGGATATTTAACCATGCGTACTAATGCAAATTCAATGTGTTCATGTTTCAATGCTATCTTCTAAATGCAATCTGAGAATGATTTAAACAGGCCACTTCCACCAGAAGGTAAACAAGTAGAAAAAGAATCACCAACATAGAATAAAATTTACAAATAAAAAACCATTGAGGTTCTCATGGTTATAGCCTTAAGAGGGAATGATTGATAATGGCCACACCAACTCATGAAACAGGGAGTAAAGAGTGCTTAGCTTCTGCTTTAAAAGACATTGTAGCAATGCTGCTTTATGACAAATTGAAAGGCCTTCATCAAGGCAAGGATATAGCAGGACATCAACAAACACAAGGCATAAATATTTAGTTTCAAAATATAGCATACCACAAAGTCTAAACAGCAAAATTACAACTGATTAAAAACAAGTAATTACAACAATGCAATACCAATTCTAACATAAAAATTCTATCTATAAAGAAAATCATGTAGTTTGCGCTGAAAAACAGTTGGTTTTTCACACATTCTTTCTAAGGAAACAGAAAAAAAAAACCACAAAAACACAAACAAAAAGGATGATATGAAATGAATGTAGCAAGACAAGGAGGGTAGGGAAAGCAATCAAGCAAACCTCTTTGGAAAGAGGGTTTCCACTCAATATCAAACCCTATAGAAACTTGACCCATTTCTTTTTTCTGGATTTCAAGAACTTTCAAAAGCTCCATTGCAGCTTTTTCTACCTCAGCTTCTGTTCTGCTATACAGAATTTGACCTCCAAATCTCAATAGCGGATATCTAAACCTCGGACGAGCTGCCAAATCAGAAAATCAAAGGGTTTACTAATTTATTTGATTCAAAATTGTGAAAGAAAAAATGGGTAAAGGAAGTGATAGCAATACCTTGACAGCGTGAGAAGGAAAATGGAAATGAAGGTGGTGGAGAGACAATGGAATCAGGTAATTTCCGGCAGGTTTGGGGGTTGTTTTCTTGGAGGCTGGTGGACTGGCGTTTCTTGACGAGAGAAGATGGAGAAGAAGATGAAGAGGACTGAAGAGTGGCTTCAATGGCGTCCATCAATTGGATCACTTCGGCAGTGAAATTCTGGTCCCAATCCAAACTAAAACTATTGGTTTCTTTGAATTCCATTTCGACCACTGCAATGGAAATGGGTGGACATGGAGTTAAAGGGAACTCGGAACTTGAATGGAACCAGTTTGGGCTTTACATGGGCCAAAACGTTGAAAATCGCTTGACACACTTAGCCTTAGCCCAGGTTATAGAACGTTCACAATTGTCTTCCACTCTCTCGAGTCCCTAATCACACCAAGCGGCGCCCCTTCTCAGCCACCCCTTCCTTCCCCAGTCAGCAGCAACGGCAACGGCAACGGCAACAGAAACAGCAACAGCAACAGCAGCGAAGCTCCTTTAGGATTGAACAGTGAATTAAACAGAACCATAACTGGTGGTGCCAGGGGGAAGAAGCAGTAGGCAAGGTCTGTATTTCTAGATTTTTTTTTTTTGTTTCATGTGTTATTAACTGTTTATCTTTTTCTTTGTTTGACGTTGAGCAAGATAATATAAGTGGGTCTTGTCTCAAAATCTTTGCAAAATTCTCATGGCAACGTCAGATTTCTTTAAGCCATCGTAGTTCATATTATTTTAGAATTCACTTTATGTTTGTTCAAAGGAACACAACATAGAACTGTCTGTGACAGCCAAATAGCCATGCTTTTGCCTTCTTTCAACTGCAGTTTCGAACCTTGAAGCAAACTAGAATCTGTTAAGCAACAAATTCCAACTTCAAAGTTGGTTCTGATCAACTTATGGCACCAAATGATCTAAGTAACTTTTCTAAGCTGCCCTGTTAACTTTTCTAAGTAACTCCAGGTTCCGTTTTTTAAAAAGGCAATGTATTGGTGTGGGAAACCTTGACTCAAAGCTGTTATAGAACCACATTTTGTTGTAATTAATTAAAAATTTGTTGCCTTCCTGTTTAACAATTGGTTCTTGATTTCTGTATGTTAGTTAGGTGCCAGTTTTTGCTTTTGCTTTGGGTTTTTGCTTGCGGATAAATGCCTTTTTGAAGAATTAATCGTCTTAGATGACAAAATGAATGATTTTACTTCTTTGTATAACGTTTGTATTGTACTCGGTGCTGCATTCTAATCATTTTTCATATTTAATTGATTATGATTTTGCTCTTGCACTATTGCAACCTTTTAAGAAGTAAAATGCAAGTAACAAAAGCCATACCAAGGTATGTAGAGGAGCCTCTTTTCTTGTCTATTAAGGTTCAATCCTTGTGTGATAGGAAGCACTCCGTTATGGGAGAGTGCACCATTAAAATCACCCGAAGAGGGAATTAGGGAAATGCTTGGGAATAACATGAGTAAATTACCAAAAGAAACAAAAACCAAATGGAGCTTTAGTCTTTTTCCTCTTAAAATATACTAGTCATGTGTAAAATATTAAAAGAAACATAAAAAAGTTATTGCTCTTTGTTATCCATGAATGTGAATTGCAATACCACAGATTTGGGATGTCTTTTCTACTTTTTAACTTTTAAGTTGTTACTATTCTCACTTGAAGTTCAAAGTAAATAATTGTTGTCTCAGAGATGCTAACTTTCTAATTTATCGCAACCAAGCTTTGAGAAGCCAATATGCAAATATTAAATGATTTATTGGAGTTTCATGGCTCTTTTATTTCCTTTGTGTCCACATTTGTTTTTCTTTCCTTACGATGATCTTTTAAATGACTACACTTATCAGGTTGTTGTTTCAATCATCATGGAGGCTAAATTCTTTCGCTTTCTTAAAATTGTTGGAGTTGGGTACAAAGCCAGAGCTGAAGCAGAGGGAAGGCTCTTATTTCTCAAACTGGGATACAGTCATGAGGTTGAACTTACTGTTCCTCCAGCTGTCCGCATTTTCTGCTTCAAAAACAATGTAGTCTGCTGCACCGGACTTGACAAGCAGAGGGTGCACCAATTTGCTGCTACTGTTAGAAGTTGCAAGCCTCCAGAAGTTTACAAAGGCAAGGGTATAATGTACATTGATGAAGTTATCAAGAAGAAACAAGGAAAAAAATCAAAATGATGGCTGAGGTGCATGATTCTTATTTTGCACAAATGTATTGGCTAGTTGATGTGACTGGAATTGCAATGCCCTCATTTGCTATAACTGAGTTGAATCGTTAAACAAATCATAGGCATTTTGGAATTCTTAACGGCTATTCAATAATTTTTAGAGTTCAATAAGTCACTGTATTCTGATGTGTTGGATTGATGTCTTCAAAATCAGAGTTGGATAAGGTGATTCTAAGCTGGTGTTAATCAGAGTTGCTTCATTTTCTTTTCCCTTTCTTTTTTTCTGTTTTTCCGCTCAGGACATTAACTGAGGCAACATTCCAAAAGACCCAAATGCTGATAATGACAGCAATAAGAGTGGATAGTATTTAGTTCTAATCCTTGTGCTTCATTTTGGACATATAGCCAGGCACTTCAAATGAGGACGCGAACTTCTCAACATCAGACTTGAGCTCTTCAATCTCCTTCTTGTTGTCCAAAACTTTGTTGAAGTCCTCCAAGAGCTTTCCATACTGCTTTTGGATGTTCGAGGTGATGGTCATATTTAGTAGTGCCTGACCATGTGCCTATATTAATGAACACAGATGGCGCAAAATGTAAAAACAAACACGGGGAGATGCATGTTTCGGTTTGTGGGCACGTGATTGAAAATGCATGGCGTGGAATAGAATAGAAATTAAAGCTCTGGCAAGATGGGATGTTTGGCAGTATGAGGAATAGAATAGAAACGGTGAAAAAAGAGCTCCGAGGCAGTCAACATTCAAGCCCAACAGATGAAGCTTTGTTACAGGAAAATAGCATGAAAGGAGCAAAACCTTCTACTAGAAAAAGAACTGGTTTGGCTGTAGAGGTCAAGGATTGCATCGTTGAGTGAGGAAGATAAAAATACGGCGTATTTTCGTGCACAGGTAACCAAACGAAAAAAAAAAAAAAGAAATTTAATCAAAGGGTTATTGAATGGAGGATGGGGAATGGTGCAAGACTGATATACACATCCATCAAACTGCCACTGCATACTTCACGAAACTATTTTAGTTAAACAGGACAAATAACTATGAGGATGTTGTTGAGGCAGTTGAGCCGCGGGTAACAGAAGAAATGAATAATTCACTCCTTGTAGAGTTACAAGCTGAAGAGATTCAAATAGCAATCAGGTTGATGCACCGAACCAAAGCCCTTGGATTTGATGGTATGCCATCACTTTTTTACTAAAAATTTTGGAATATTATTGGGATTGATATTATAAATTACTGCTTAGAATGTCTGAATGGGGGGAGAAAGATTGAGGATATAAATCACACTAACATTGTCTTATTCCAAAAATCAAGAATCCTATGAATGTTAGCCACTTTAGACCAATTGGCTTGTGTAATGTTATATACAAAATTCTAGCAAAAGTCCTAGTTAATTGGCTCAAACACATCCTTACTGTTTGTATTAGTGATGCTCAAAGTGCTTTTGTCCTTGAGAGGCTAATCACTGATAACATCTCGGTTGCCTATGAAATATTACATACCTTGAAAAACAAAAGGTAGGGGATGGATGGTTACTCTGCCTTAAAACTTGACATGAGCAAAGCATATGATAGAGTAGAATGGAACTTTCTTGCTAGAATGATAACCAAATTGGGTTTTCATACGCAGTGGATTGGTCTTATCATGAAATGCGTAACTTCAGTCTTTTACCCAATTCTGATTACTGGTTGTATGACTGATGTCTTTAGACCATAAAGAGGACTCCGATAAGGAAAGCCATTTTCCCCATACTTGTTTCTAATTTGCACAGAAGGTCTATCATCACTTTTACACAAACACCAAGGTGAAGGTCGAATCCATGGAATGTTGGCAAGTAAGGCTGGAGCCAGAGTTACACAACTCTTTTTCGACTGATGGTAGTATCTTATTTGCTAAAGCAAATAAAAACAAAAGCGAGGTGGTAAGGCACGTGCTAAGGAGGTATGAAGAAACCTCTGGCCAGTGCATAAACTTTCTGCTACAACATGCAGGACAAGATGAAATCCTAAACCAAGATTACGTTGGGCATCGAGACCATATCGAGTATGGAGAAATATCTAAGAGTGCCTTCTATGGTGGGGAGGGCAAGAAAGAGAGCTTTTAAAGAGCTTAAGGATAGAATGGAGAGGTGAATGACTGGAAGGCTTAGCTAATGTTTTCACAAGGGGGCAAGGAGGTGTTTATCAAATATGTGGTGCAATCTATCCCAACTTATACCATGGGATGTTTTCTACTTCCTAAAACATTGTAAATGGCAATGAATTGAGTCATAAGCAAGTTTTAGTGAAAGCAAAACAAGGACAAAAAAGGACTACACTGGCTTAGTTGGGATAAGATGTGTTGCTCAAAGAAGCATGGAAGAATGGGGTTCCATGACATGACCAGCTTCAACATGACAATGGAGCCTAAACAATATAGCGGCTACTCAAGAATGAACACACACTTGTGCGTCGTGTGCTTAAAGGTAAATACTTTCCAAAAGTTTCATTTCTTCATTCGAGTTTGGGCAACAAGCCATCATTAACGTGGAGGAGTCTGTGGGAGTCTATTTCTACACTCAAACGGGGAGTGAGGTGGAGGGTAGGAAACAAAAAATCCACCAAAGTGTGGACCGATCAGTGGGTACCTGTCAACAGTGACTCTTTGATCTAGTCACCTAAGGATGCATGATACTAGTGAAAAGATTTTGTGGAAACGGAAGCAGAAGCCATCAGCATGATATCACTGAGTATGAGGGAAGGGTCAGACATTCTTGTATGGCACTATGATAACGGGGGAGAATATTCAGTGAAAAGCGGGTATAGGATGCTAAGCAATGAAGAGCATCACGACTGGGCGCATATGGGCCAGTAGGAACATGAGCTATGGAGGAAATTATAGACAACAAATGTTCCAAACAAAATCAAAGTTTTCTTATGGAAGGCAAGTCGTGGTATACTACCAACCATGGTTGCACTGGTACAACGAGGAATTCAAGTCGATGAAGTTTGTGGAAGATGCAAAAATAAAAGAGAAACGTTATTCCATGCTTTAAAAAATACGAAGCAGTGAAAAAGGTATGATAGTGTCCGAATTTTTCTTGGGATACTCAATGTGATGAACCAGATGAAGGACATGTATGGCTCAAAGGAAAGATATTAAAGCTAACAACCGAAATAGAAACAAAACTTTACATGGATAGGAGATAGGCACAGTAAGTCGCAATGAAAATTTCATCAGACAATGCAGCCATGAATACAACCAAGCTCAGGAGAGAGAAAGGAGGGGACAGAAGCAGGAACCTTCTTGATGGCAATCACCCAACAATGGAAGTTATAAGGTGAATTTTGATGTTGCACTGAATCGATCTGAGAAGACAGCAAGAGTGGGAGTCGTGATCCGTAACTCACAAGGCCAATTGATGGGAGCATGTGCGACCAGGATCCATAGGGTTGATAACTTGTTCATGGCAGAAGCAAGAGGAGCTGTTACTGCTCTCAACTTTGTGTGGGATTTAGCTCTATAATAATAGAGGGAGACTCACTGACTGTATTAAAACGGTTGCAATTGTGCGAACTGGACTTGGCACCCATAGCCGTGATAACTGGAGAAGCAAAGGATATAAGTAGAGGTTTTACCAGCAGTAATTTCATTCACATAGGAAGGACAGGAAACAATGTAGCTCATAGTCTAGCCAAACATGCTTTGAGTTGTGATCAAGACATGTACTGGATCGAAGAGCCACCTCTCTTTCTTTGTTTCAAAAAAAAAAAAGATTCAACTTGAATTTAAATTTAATTCATATTTATTTTATATTTTCACAAAAAATTAAGTATTTGATATTTTAATAGATTAAAATATTTAATAAATAATACATATTTAATTGAATATAAATTTAAATAATAATATTATATTTAAATAAATTCGAATACGAATATTAAAAAATAACGAATATATGATCTGTTCACATTTCTAACTATTTTCATCAATGCGATGGCTAATGAGGTTGTTGAGTGGCAATTCAGTCATTTCAACACCACCAACCACCGCCTGAAAATCGACCCCGTTTTCCTGTTCCTCCACTTCAGCCCCTTTTCCCCTAGAAGCATACATTTTCGGGGTTGGTGCCACTTTCAGGTTTCAACCATTGTTGCTCAAATTCAAAACTCCCCCAAAACTTTTACCACTTTCCTTTTTATCAATTAAATAAATAATAACAAAAGAAAATAGAGACAGCAGCCACACTTTAAATGTGCAATAACAATAATGACAAAGCCTCACCAACTCTCACCAACCCAACTACGAGTTGGACCAACTCTTAAGAGACTGAAATTTCTGTCACTCTGCTTGTCCTACATAAATCCTAATTTATAAATAAGCCATATAGTTGAAAATGCTCCATTTTTTGGAATTAGATTTTTTTATATAAAAAAATCATAGTTTTTTTTTTTTTTTTTTGTCTAGGACTCTTTAGTATCCAACAGTCACTTTTGATTATGATTATTTTAAATTTAAATCGGATTGAACCTCATAAGAGAAGCAAGTTCTCTTAACGCTTATTTTTCTATTCACAATATTTAAAACTAAGACATTACTTAAAAAAATTTGTTTAGGATTATAACAGTTCTAATACCACTTGTTAGACAAAAAAACTCAAATCAAATCACACTAGCAACAGTAAAATTAAATAATCAATCAATCACATAAGAGACAGTAATTTAACGTAGTTTAATCCAACCGACCAACATTCATGGATAACAAATAAGATCCATTAGTTGTAAATAATTACAAATATGTAAATCAAATCATTAATCTCTTAACAATCAATACTCATAAGACGCTCTTAATTTCTTTTAGTCTTATGAAGTATTCTCGATCCAAACAAATATAAATACATGTGTACTCTTTCAACACAAATAAATACATACTCATATGTACTCATTCACCATATCTATGTAGACTCTCTCAGTCTCCTCTAATCCATTTACAAGCATTCAAATACACACATTCATAAGATATAAATATTTAATAGTCTTATGGGATGTCTATTCCATAAAACCTTACAACTCTCTTATATTTTTTTTTATACCTAAGATATAAATCTTTAATAGTCTTATGGGGTGTTTATTCCATAAAACCTACAACTCTCTTATATTTTTTTTCATATCTAAATTTGTAGAGAATTTATCTATTTATAAACATATAAACTTGCTTATTAAGAATCTCTTTCCTCTTAGAATTTTTCTTTTGTAAGTCAACTTACTTATAAAGAATATGTTTTCTCTTATAATTCTTCTTTTACAAGTTTTCTTGTTCATTAAGCAATATCTGACCAATCTTAAATAAATCTCTTATGGGATTTAAGTCATTATTCCTAACAGAATTGAGCACATTTAAATTCTTGTTTAATTCTAA